GCAGAAATTCACGGACAGCGTGGCAGGGGTCGCCTTGGTCTTGTTGCTCCGTTTGCCCCGAGCAGTTGTAGTCTTGAGCGGAATTTTGCCTCCCCCCCCCCCCAGAATTCGCCGGGCAGCCTGAGCACCCACGCTCAGAAGTGGAGAAACATGGTCGTGGATGCTCAGCGAGAGATTCTCCAGGGGTGCTGGTACCCTCCTGGGGTAGTCTATCATCATTTAATTCCGCTACCATTTTGATGGGGGGGGGGGATTTGGGCCTCCGGCCACCTGCACTCACCAGACGAAACGCGGAAGCAGAGCTTCCACTTCACGCCGGTATTCTGTGAGGTCGTGGTACCACCCCGGTTTGAGCCGGCACATACGTGCAACAGCAAAGCTGCCGCGTGGCTCTATTATTATTATTATTATTATTATTTATTTGTCAGAATAAGGTAATACATAATGGTCTTAAATCTAATACAGAAGTTCACTTATTCTGCCTCTTTTATAGGCGTACAAATATTAAATCGTCGTAATTTAATTTCGACATAAAATTTTAATACAAAACTATAAAAAAATAATTACGGATAAATGTTATACAAATTGTCATATATTGTCAAAGTGAAAATCAGTAATAATACATGTCATCGTCAAATTGCTATATATGTCACCTATATTTACTATTATAATTATATTAATTAAATAATAATTTTAAAAACAAAATTAGTTGTTGAAATATTCAGAAAGACTATAAAAACACTCGCTGAGAAGCCATTCTATCAACTTTCGTTTAAACGTTTCACTTGTTTCATTCTTTATTGTGTCTGGCAGATGATTGTATAGACGGATTGCCATGTAGGAAGCATTACTGTTAAAGAATGAGGTGCCTGATTTAGGCAAGAATAATTTATTTTTGTTCCTAGTATGCCTCTGTGTTACATCAGACTGTTTTGTAAATAAATTTAATTTTGTCTTACAAACAAACAGATATCCCTCACATACATACATGGTAAGGGAAGAATGTTTAATTTCTTAAAATGGGGTCTACAACTCTCACAGTACCCCAAATTGCATACAGCGCGAATACATTTTTTTTTGTACTACAAATGCTTTCTGGCTATCGGTAGAGTTACCCCATAACAATAACCCGTAGCTTAGAACTGAGGAAACATAACCATGATATGCACATAGAGCTGCCTCTGGCGACACTGTTCTCCGTAATCGTCTTAGAGCATAAACAAATCGGTCTAATTTCTTACAAATTTTAAAAATGTGCTCCTTCCAATTGCATTGTTCATCAAGTGTGATACCCAAAAATAGTGCAGATTGTACCTTTTCTATCGATTTATTATGAAATTTAATGTTAATGTCTATTTTTTTTGATTTGTGTGTCGTAAATTGTATTATTTTTGTTTTGTCAAAATTAATATTAAGGTTATTTAATTCAAGCCATTTAACTACGTCACGAATAGAGTTATTGATTTGATTATTAAAATTATTTATGTCATTAGCCTTTATTATTAGGGTTGTATCATCGGCGAAAAGAATGCATTTTTCTTTCATAGCTTGAGGTAGGTCATTTATATAAATTAAAAATAAAAGCGGGCCCCAAATACTACCTTGTGGAACACCATATTTAATAATTTTATAATCTGAGCTATATGATGATTTTTGTATTTGTTTGTTTTTAGGCACCATCTTACAGATTTCAGTGCATTGCCTTCTGTCTTTCAAATAACTAGCTATCCAATTATTTGCTTCACCACGAATACCATATTTTCTAATTTTTGAAGCAAAATGTCATGTTCTATGTGATCAAAGGCCTGAGTCATGTCTAATAGTACTGCTACCACAGGTATCCCTTGAGATATGCTTTCGGTGACAAATTTAATAAGATGAAAGCATGCAAGTGTAGTTGAACTTTTCTTTACAAATCCAAACTGCTGCCGATTTAATATATTATGCTTTGTAAAGAATAAGTTTAATCTATTACACATAGCTTTTTCAAATATTTTCGATAACACAGGCACGAGAGTAACTGGTCTATAATTATTTACTGTTGCCTTGTCTCCTTTCTTAAAAAGTGGTTTTACAATTACTTGTTTTAACTTCGATGGAAAGATGCCTTTACAAAACGATAAATTTATCAAAAAGCTTAAAATTTCAGATATGCTATTTGCACACGCTTTTAATATTTTCGCTCCACTGTTAAACTGTTGTAAAATATATAATATCACCTCTATTTTATTAATTTATGACCGACGTCATTGAGAAGCATGGTGGTGTGTAATCGGGACAAGAATTTTCTGGGAAGCGGCGCCTCTAGTTACGCAGTAACCTATTACCTAAATGCTTTAAGATTAATCTAATTGTGAAAACAAACATCTATCATTGTGTTTCAAGCTACTCAATTAAAATTTATGGAACAGCTTTCGTTCACAAATTTTTTGTTCATTTTCATGAGTAGAATTAAGAAGTTTCTCAGATATTAAAATTCAAGTGTCTACAGACTAAGGAAGAATATTATGTATAAAAAAGCTGTCAATCAGGAGAAAAAGACTGCCTTAGGCCTCATTCGCACGAGAGCTTTTTTAACGTCCGTTAAAAAAGCGTTCAAATAGAGCAAATGTATTCCCAAGTATATGTTCACACGTAAGCGCTTTTAAAACGCGACGCTTTTTTATCGAGCAGTGTTGTATTTTCAACGCTGGGCGTTGGGCGTTAGAAGGAATAGATCATAATATGAAACTTCTTATTATTTTTCACACGAGCGCTAAAAAAGCACCGGTGCTGCATTCAGTGCGCCGCGCCCTCGCTCAGTCGGACGTTTTATTTGTGTTTACGTCATTAGAACTTCGATAAGATGTCGTGGGTTGTAGATCCTGAAGTGCTTATAATAGAGGTGGAGGCTCGGCCATTTATATATGACTTTGCCAGACACTAAAGACATTGCCAGAATACTCAAATAAAATTATAAAGAATGTTTGTTGGTTATATTCTACCATATTGCTATCTTGAAGTGTTATTTGAGGATTTCCAACAATTCGTCAAATGTTGTTATAGACATTCGAAAATAATTGAAAAATTTAGCCGGGTATTGCCTCAACTCTACGTATATTGTCACAAACTGTCCTTTTAAGTATTTCTGTTCATTCAGAGGATGTACCCAGAATGCCTTTTGCTTTTTTTTTTTCGCCTTCTAGCAGCACACATTGCCATTGCTAGTAATTTAGTAGAAACCATTTTCACATCTTATGAAGTGAAAGCCGAGACAAGAGTGATTTTATAGTGTTTGTATGAACAATCACATCGTAAACGTTTTAAAAGCGCCAACGCCGAGTTTTGACGCAACGGTTTTTTAGCTCTCGTGCGAATGAGGCCTTAACCACAGAAATCTAAATAATAAGGCAATAGAAAGATCGCAATAGAAGTCGTAAAAGCGCGTGACCTTGTAGCCTTGTACGCCGCACATGTGACTCGTAGGCCACAAGTGCGTGAGGAGCCTTTGTTTCGGTCGCCCCTGTTGTTTCCGACGCAGAGACGTAAAAATGGTGTTTTGCAGCATATCCAACTGCGCAAATTCTTCCACAACTTGTAACTTTTCAAATAAGGGGATAACATTTCATAAGTAAGTACATAGTGTTTTAAATAATGTTGTTTTTAATGAAATATAATAATAAACATGTCACGCATACATATATTTATTTATTTTTTGTTTGTATAATGTTGTATTCATTTTATTTATTCATCTGTTTATTTTATACAATTCCATTATTCCAGGTTTCCAAAAGATCCGGATATTAAAGAGAAATGGATATGTGCGACTGGAAAAAGATATTGGTTCCCGACAAACTATAGCAGAATTTGTTCTGTTCACTTCAAAAATGGATAATTCAACTCGTCAACAAAAAGACGGACTTTGATTCAATCAGCTGTACCAACAATCGATATATGGAGACTAACAACGGTAAGAATGAAAATGTATTAGACTTATTAATATTTTGCGTGTAAAGTTCATAACTGGGTTATATTATAATTATGACTTTTAGCGATGACGTTATTGGCGATGAGAATGGGCAGTGCGATATCAGTAATATGTCTGATTTCACATCAGAAGTTGTAACATATATAACAGGATCAGTTGTCCATTACATATATAGATAGTTCCAATGAAAATTAACAATTCATTAAACTTAAGATATGGATGAGTTAAAAATTGAATTTGTTACAAAGGCCATGCACAATTTTGTTGGGCTTAAATTATTTGAAGATATTGATTTTCTCCAATATGACCAGTCCCCAGTCGACAATCACGTCTTTCAATTAATTAAATGTGTTTGGCAAAATATATGGAAATTCTTGTTAAACATTTTGCAAAAAAATATCCTATTGGGGATCAATAGGGTAAAGGAACGAAACGGCAACTTTTAAATACATTTTTACATTTTACTGGGCAGTAAATCAAAATATTTTAGTTAAGGCGAATTTTGCCATAGGCTATAATTTTTTTTATTGTTCTTGTTGTTTTGTTCATCGTATTTTCCCTTCGCAAGCTGAAGTATTGCATAGCCTTAAAGTTTTATCTAATACAAATCTATAAGAACGTATGTGCTTTTTCAAATTCGTAATAAATTAATATGTTATTATTAAAACGTTTATACTTATCCCCTTAACGTTTTATTATATCCCCTTTTCTCTCATTATAAAAACGTCTAAAAGCTAAAGCTTAAATCGTCTATTACTGAGATACTTTCAATTTATTAGTTATCTCTTGGTGTAATACTCTTGGTCGATCAACGACGCTTTATAGAAGGTTATTGATGCATGATATAGAAAGATATCGACCTCTCAGCCTACGTGACATGTAACGAAAGGCGACAAATTTCTGTGCTTCATCTGCTCAACCAGAGCCTATATAGTTGAACACGAACGCTACCCTGTTTAGTAGTGACCAGACAACAGACCTGTGCACTGCGTCCTTAACGCTAAATTTTTTTTTAAATAAAAAACAGTGAAATATGCCTACGTGCGCAGTAAAATGGTGTGGTAGTGATAGCAGGAAACATAATTTCAAGAAAGATAAAATCACGTTTCACCGGTAAGTGCTACATTTAATAATCTTAAATACTAAAAACGTGAGGGTTCAACGTATTCTGGTCGTGATTCTGAGGCTGTCCTTGTCAAGCACGCAGTATTATAGTTGCGTCTCTGATTATCAATCAGAGGGGCTGCAGGCGGCACGTGTAAGTAGAGATGCCCAAAAAAGTATCAATGCAAGTTTATCGACTATTTATTGTGTTATTATTTTTTGTGTAGATGAACAGTCATTCCACTATATTTGTATATTAATCTATTTGTAATTTTAATTTGAAATCGAAATTACAGTTTTACAAACCCACTCACTTACTGAAATTTAGAGAGAGCCGTGGTAGCTCAGTGGTTAACGCTCGCCGTAAATATAACAGAACGCGAGTAACCCGGGTTCGATCCCCGCCGGCACCAATGAAATTGTTAATTGCAATTTTAAGTGCTGATTTACCACGTGCTCGGCGGTGAAGGAAAACATCGTGAGAAAACCTGCATGTCTGAGGAATAAGAAAAAAATATTTCGAAGACATGTGAAGTTCGTCAACACGCATTTGGGCAGCGCGGCGGACACTTCCTTGCCCTAAACCCTCTCAGAAATGAGGGGAGGCCTGAGCCCAGCAGTGGGACGTATATAGGCTGTAACTTTACTTTACTTTTACTTTACTCACTTACTGATTGACTGACTCACTCATTGACATAATTGTACTCCAAGAAGGAGCCATCGGCGGTAAAAATGATTTATAGGGAGTTTTATTGGTGGGTAACAGTTAGTATGGAGAAACCTTTAGATCTTCAAAAACTGCTCCTCATCAGGGAGTCACCCTACTGCCTGCCGAAACTATAGCACTTTGACGAAAACTTCTGCCACAATAGTATTAAAACCTTGATATAATTTGATCGCCCATAATATTTTTTTAAATAGCGGAAAATCTGCTTCTCATCATCAGGGAGTAAATCCAATGCATGCCTAAAGTATAGCAATTAGCCGCTAACTTTAGGTATGCTATTTCAAAGTTTAGTTAGGTAATTAACTAATTACTTATCAGAATTAATTTTGCTTAGATTCCCAGCCAATGGTGATATAAAAGGGATATGGATCGCGAAAACTATGAGAGAAGAAAACTGGTTTCCGACTTCAAACAGCACAATATGCTCCAAACATTTTACTCCTGACTGCTTTATGGAAATGAAGGGTCGAAGAAAATTATTAGATGCATCAATACCAACTCTATATTTGGCTAAATTGGTAATTTTCGTTTACATTTTTATAGTACGTTAATTTTATCTAATGTAGATATTTTCGCCTGACTGTCCCGGCGGAGGCCGAAGCAAAGTCATGGTTTTATAGAGATATAAAGTACAGAACGGATTTATGGTAAGCGATTAGTATTGTAAATGACATGTAAAATACGTGTGTATATTTTAAAGAACTTTACATGTATTTAACGGTGTATTTTACGCATCACCCAGTTGTTTATAATTACGTTACGTTTTCAGTCTCCCAGATTTAAGCGTAAGATATATGAATGTGACACATCTTTAAGTTACGTCTCCCGCGCCGCCCGCACACCTTTCTTTCTTCTAACCTTGACATACTAATTTAATTAAAGAATCGTAATGGTTTCATGTCTCGTAGACTGGGTGGTCTGTGTTTTTCGCACACGTTTATTATTGACCCGAGTGGCTACGCACCCTGAGCTTTTGCGTTTTTGTAAAATATTCCTTAACGCGATAGCTTATAGTTTAATCTTTGTTGCATGAATGCTAGAGCTACGTACAGGCGTAGTTGTGTATTTATTGTTTGTGCCTTATTATTTAGATTTTTGTGGTCTTAACAATATGATATTGCGACTGGCACCTTAAATACTTGTGCCAAAACATACTGAAGTAAACATGTTTACTTAGTATTTTTGATGTTTAAAAAAGTTTATTTTTTAATTTATTTCAGGTCGAAAATGAACAAAACAACAGCTGGGCCACTCCTTCAACTTCTAATATTTGTCAAAACGATACGTTAAATCTTTCGGAAAGAGTAAGTCATATATTTATGTCGCAGTCAAAACACATAACCGATTAAACCCACTTTTAACTGCGAAAATCGGGCATAAATGGTTTTGACCAAGGCCCTTAGTTAAAAACAGTTTTGACTGATGTTTCAGTCAAAAATCGTTATGCCTGATTGAAACTACAGACTAATAGGTCAAAACTCGCAATATCAGTGAAAGTAGGTTAAGGTGCGTCTGGGGTGGCTCTTGGTCCACTCTTAAGCCTTATACATTATTATAGTGAAATAAAATATAAATTTAGAGTTGACTTTTTTATTTTAAAAATTCAAAAGTACACTTAAAAAGTAGTTTTGACTAACAATCTTGGTGAAAACCAATTTTAACCAATATAATTTTGTCAAAATCACTACTATTCAATATTTTTGCAGTTAAAAGTGGTATTGAGCAATGTCCTTAGTCTAAACTTCTTTGGCCTGATTTTTTATAATCACAACTCTTTTAAACAAATAATTACTTGATTACTGTTATAGTTTTAACATTGTATTTTTTGTTTTCGATTCTTTAACTTTTATAAACAGACTACGATTGCGTCGCCTGTCTCTTCGAATGAGTCAACGCCGGGAAAACAAAAATTAAAAGAAATGATACAAGATAAAGAATATGTTATCACAAAACAACGAAAGGAAATCAAAAAAATACAAACACAAAATAGAAGACTCAAGAAGAAAATCAAACAGCTTGAAGACGCGCTAAGTGAACTACAAGAAAAGTCTTTGAAACAAACTGAAGAAGTATATACCCTCAAAAATACTTTACAGGTGTTGTCTAGTATGACAAATGAACTTTTAAACTAAAATTTAATCTAAAATTTACTCTGTTTATAATATTTATGATAATTTTCCTAGCATTTATGTATCTATCGAATACAAATGCGATTGTGAAATTAATTATATTGAAAGCTAAAATTATTTATTTCAAATTTAATTGAAGTGAATTTGGTAGGTAGTAATAGGTAGGTTGTAAGTATTCTTATGAACTAAAAGAACCGGTTTATATTCTGGATCTCCATATCGTGCCTTTAGCATGTTATCTATAGTTTCGTATTTTCGATTAATTAGTGTCAATCTGTCTTAGAACTTAAAAATTCTTTAATATATAATAGAGCAATATTTAGTTTTAGTTAGATTTTTATTCATACCATAACTAACTTAGGTAAACAGGTCAATACTTTTCAGACAACCAATAATAAAGAAATACTAATTTAAAGAATTTTTCGAATACTAGCTTTATACCCTTTTTATACATAGTTAGATTATACCCTTTTTAATGTTTTCAGCTATCTGAATACCGAATTTCGTCAAAATCTGTTTTGCATTTCTCATACAAAGTTTCATTCCAGATATCACAGTCTTTCCCCAAGCTCGCGGTGCTAATAACGCTAAACTAAACTTATTTGAGATCTTACTATTTTTACTTAACCAGGCATTAAACTATCTCAATTTTATTAAAATTGGTTTACCCATGAAACCTTGAGAGACGATATTCGCATCACAATAGCAAAGTATGGATTTCACTTCAACCTAATTCTGAACAACTCTGCATTTATCTATATTTGCAAATCATTTTCGTATCAAATTATGTTTCTTATATTTTGTAATGTAAAATTTTAAATTAGCAAAAACAAAATTTGTTAAATTTTGAACCTAATTTAGAATTTCTTTATCAAACAAAAAATTACAAAGAATCGTGTATTAGGAGCAAACCAAACTTTTTCCTGCATCCATAGAGTTGAACACCGGAGCACGAACGTAAAATTTGGCAAAAAATTTAGTATGGCATATGCCATGTGTGGGCTAATTTCTTTCAGACGACTGGATGACTTCTCAAATTTTAAAATCTGTTCACTGACAACGTATTGAAAGGACTCATCTAGAAAATAGGAGCACCTAGAAGGCAAAGAGATTTGCTGTTAATTATCTTCATATTTGAGGCTAGGGAGTTAAATTTGCTAACACTTTGATATTTTTCGGAGGTGGGTAAATTCTCATTAACAAAAAGTTCGCATTTTAAAAAATTCAATTTGATGCCAATGGAACTGAAAGTAGAAATAAGACTGCTTAAATCATCAAGCACTGAATCCGCTTTGCCTCCTAGACCTATCATCTAAATACCAGACATTGAATTTTGACTTGAGACCAGAAATAAATGGATATATTGGCAAACTAAAAATTGCTGGACCAAGCGGATCACCCTGCTGGCAACTGACAACGGATAAAATTTGGTGTTCTTTGCACACGAGTGTAAATGGTGTATTGTAACATTTCCAGAGGTAATGATGAATGGACGGAAAATTTTCTTTTACCCGTGTCAGCAGAGCGCTTTGGTCTACTGAGATAAATGTATTTTCGATATCCACCTTCAGCAGCTCTTCACCGTCACCGTGTTTCAGAAAGGTGCGGGCCGCACGTATAGCCCCTTCGCATTCGCCTTTTATTTCGGAAATTACCCGTACAGGTACATATTCCAGATATGGCCGCGAGGTCTGGCTGGATAACTTTACAAATCTTTGAAATAATGTTGCGTTTTTAAGGGCGCACAGATTTGGCCCATAAAGTGCCTGAGTTATGTTTGGGCAAACCTTTCCGGATAGCATTAAATTTACAAGTTGCGTCAAGATATTTAGAAGGTCTCATCCAGTGTTTCCACCTGAATATTTTAGTTAGCACTTGATAGAAGATTGCATTATCTGTAGAAGACATGTTTTTGATGCAGTATTTATAAGCTAAATATTGTCTTCTTACAAACAATTGTAGAATGCCTAACTCACTCACCATAATATGGATAGGTGTACTTTTGATAAAACCCCCCATTATTCGAAGAGCTTTATTTTGAATCTTATCAAGTTTATACAGATGTGTTTTAGCACTATTGTCGTATAAAAAGCTTCCAAAATCCAACCGACTTCTTAATAGAGAGATGTATAAAGCGCGCATATGCTTATGACGTAGGTACACCCCAAGCAGGCCCGGACAAAACTTTTAGTATATTTAAGAATTTTGAAGTTTTTCTACGATCTCATTAATATGTTTAGTTCATCTTAATGATTTGTCCAGCCATAGCCCCAAGTATTTAACATTTTCATGTATAGGAATTATATTGTTATTAATGCTTAAAGTTATTTCTCTTCTTTTATAATCTCAACCTCAAGTTACAATTAATCTACGTTAGTGGTACAGTTGTATCACGAATGGGTCGGCTCAACCTAAGAAGGACCACGCTCTCACAGAATACCAACGTAAAATAGTAGCTTGATGCTGCTGAGTTTCGTATGGTGAGTGTAGAGAACCGGAGACCCTTTTTACTGATGACGAGGCATTCCAACTTAGTCCTCGCGGGTGACAACGCTATTGCATTTTGATTCGTAATCGAGGATAGATGTAGATGTCTATGAGCCACTGCAACCACTTACCATCAGGTAGACTGTGTGCTCGTTGTCACCCTATCCTATTTAAAAAAAAATGTATATGTATGTAATAACTCTAAATTAATACCTATAAAATGTATCTATCTTTCACAGACGAATCAAATTATTACTGTTAAGAATTTTGTAATTAAATACATATATTATAAATAATTTTGGGAAATATTTTCAATCTGGCAACAAATCCTGAAGTTTACAATTAATCTACATGTATAAAATTACTCTATGTCATACCTATTAAATTTATCTTTCTTTTACAGACGAATCAAATTATTATTGTGAAGAATTTTGTAATTAATTCGACGTACTAAAATTGCTTATAAAAAAATGATATTTCGTAAAAATGTTTCATAAAAGGGCTACCATTATTGATACTTTGATAAGATTTACTTAGATTATTACATTTTGCGTCAACATTGTGGAATAAATAACATCAAGATCATCATCATTACAGCCCTTCACAAGTCCACTGCTGAACATAGGCCTCCCCCGAAGTAATCATTTCAAATCAAAAATAAGAGCCACCTGCATCCATCGACTTCCTGCATGTCTTACCGGGTCGTCACTCCGTCTAGTGGGGGTCGCCCTACACTACGCCTACCGGTACGAGACTGCCAGAATCCATCGGTTGTCGGTTCTTCGAGCTATATGGCCGGCCCATTGCTACTTCAGCTTACTAATCCGTTGGGCTATGTCGGTCACTCTGGTTGTACTGCGGATATCCTCATTTCTGAGTCTATCACGCAGAGAAACTCCGAGCATAGCCCTCTCCATAGCTCGCTGAGCGACCTTGAGCGTCCATTTCTTAACTGGCAACACGCACTGGTTGTACACTTTAGTTTTCAGAGATTGAGGTATACCAGACGAGAAGATGTGTCGTAATTTCCCGAATGCTGCCCAGCCGAGTTGAATCCGTCGATTGACCTCTCGGTCGAAGTTGGACTTACGTAGTCGGACTATTTGTCCCAGGTAAACGTACTCGTCAACAACTTCGAACATAGTGCTCCCAACAACTACCGGCATAGGTGTGACATGGACATTTTTTTAAAGAATATTAGCAATGCTATAAACATTACTAATATTCCCCTTTACCACTCGTGGTAAGCTTAATTTGCTCGTGTTACGACTGGTTGACGCCAGTAGTCGAATGGCGGATTCGAACCTACGACCTTTTGAGTTCGCGGTCCGCGCCCTGCCATTAGGCTACTGTCGCATGATCTTTGTTTTGTATAAAAAACATGTTAAGATTAAATAAAAATTAAAAAATATGATTAAACATAAAGCGTAATTAAATTTAATTTGTTTGTAATATTCTTATAACAATTATCTCTAGTCGGTAGTTTCTGTTATCTTTTATAGTGGTACTCGTATGACTTATTTGTTAGCGTTTCACTACGAATAAATGGTGTTCTTTCCTTCTTTCTGTTTTTCTGTCTTTCTTTCATAACTTCTTTGAAATACTAAACAAATACAACACAGTGGTCAATAATTATGGCATTTTAGTTAATGGCCAAATACTTTAAAGCATTTGTAACAAGACAAATGGCTGCTCAACCGAACAAAGGCCTCGTGTCAATTACACAAAATATATAATTAAATGAACTCTGCCGGGCAAAAATCTCATCTAACAGCCTTATATTTGAGTAAGTGTAACATTATCTATAATTTTACACTTACTCAAATATAAGGATAGATTAACTGATAGAGCTCTTAAAACTGTAAATGACTGAATGGATTAGCATTTGTGCGTTGCAATATAACTAAGAGTAAGAGCTAAGCTACAAGATATATGTAAGTAAGTATGCTGTCGTCGCGCTACAAGCAAATCGTTCCGAAGTATAAATCGCGCTCTCATAAGTTCCGAAGTACTGCGGTAGCTCTGTACTACCACGCGGAGCATTGGCCGCTCCCCGGGCTGAACGGGCCGATCGCCTTGCCCTGTGGAAGATCTCCCTTTTTCTTACCACGGTCAAAGTGTTGGCTAACCGTCATGATGTATTAAACTGTAACACAAAAACGACTAGACTCGACCGGGAAATTGTGAATACTAACGGAAATTAATAACATGCAGTAACGTTTGCATTTTGAATCTGAACCTATGGACTAACCAAGAAACGAGAACGAAGGCAATCCATTATCCCATATCAGGTTAAATTTTTTTTGTGTGGAGTTGATTTTCCATATCATCCCGTGGGTTTCTTAACGTAGGTTAAAGAGGAAAACTGAAACAGGAGAACGGTCGCATCATTTTGCTTCATGGACGGATTAAAAAAAGGCGGACTGTATTTTGTTAAAAAATATTGATGTACTACAATGGCGGCGGTGCAATGTTTGCGTGCTATAAAGAGTTGTCATGTGAAACAAACTTTCCCCATTTTTTAAATAAAATAATCAGTCAAAATATAAGATAACTTTGATGAAATACTATTTTATTATTACGTAACTAATACAAATAATACATTTGGTGATTAATATATCTAAGAATTTAAGATTTAGATTTGGATTGAAATCGAATAATTCTATTTCGATCGCTTGGGTGTAATAAAAACTTTTTGGTTTAGATTAATTTTATAACAAATATTATTTTACACAAAACTTGTATTATATAATTGAAACGAAACATATTATAAATAGGTAATCGAAACTCTTCTGTAATCTAGTCTTTGTTAAGGAGCCCAAAAATGGTTTACATTATAATATAATATGTACGTTAATTAAATGTTAGTTTTTACCATTAGTAGAGAACTCAAAAATTATTAGAGTAGAATATTTTATTCTAATCATTTGAATATAATACAGTTTACAACAATACTTATTGAAAGTTATTGGAAAAAAACACTATCTTGGGCAGAACCGTTAAGAAACCCAGCGGAACTTTTTTATTTAAATAAAATTAATCGTATAAAAAGATCGCGATCTAAGATTGTTGCTCCTAATTACAAATGTTTGTTTTATAACAATTCAATTACCTAATTAATGTATAAAAGCGGCTTGTTCTTACACTACATGTTTTTCTAAAATGCAAATTTGAAGTGGCAAGTCGCACATTATGATACTACATCATACATATTTCCATTGCTTTTTAAAATAAATTGAGAAAATTATGAAAAGTGGTACCTTCAGTTCGAGCATTAGGTACATCAGCGCACAACTGCTAATAACAATTTTAGTAATTGCCGAAAATCCAATCTTGCTCGGAATTCACGTGTATATACATCATCTTCGTTAAATTTCTCCCCGGGTTTTTGAATTATAAGTCATTGCAAGCACGGTGAGCGTATCAATAAGTTATCATGGTGTGTAAAATAATTAACGGGGGGACAGATGCTCTAGAACTGCGTACTGAACTGTGTCGATATTTTGTACCTAATTACTACTATCTTAAGCGCAAGCACAAACGTTTTGCCTGTTCCCAGTGTCCTCAACACAGTTAATGCTTTCCTGGAGGACACAAATCCTGAGTGCAACCTGCTTTTTTATACAGAATGAGGGTGATAAACGGGTACACAGATCACCTAATGGTAAGAGGATGCTGTTGCTCATAGACTTCTACATCTTTCCGCGATGAAGAGTGAATGCCTAGTCACCCTAGAGAACTACGATAGAATGTCTCTATCCAAGTAAAAGTTGTATCCAGTTCTCTACACTTACCATACAAAACGCAGCAGCATCAAGCTGCTATTTTACGCTGGCATTCTGTGAGAGCGTGATCCGTACCCCGTCAAGCCTACCTATTCGGGATACAACCATGATATAGTTGCAGCATGGCTCTACCCCGTAACGTCGCCTGTTCCCCGTGTCCTCACCGCAAACCCTGAGTGCGACCTGTTTGCGGATGAATGGACGGTAACATTATCGGGATGCCTAATTTTTTATGAGCGAGAAGAATGATATGTTGTCTTTAGTTAATGTAATTAATTTTACAATTTTAATGAAAGTAAAAATAAATAAATAATATCCTACCAAAGTCCAATGCTGATTATAGATCTTCCTTGTAGAGTGCCTTATAGGAGGTAGATTTTTTCATCAATATAGGACTTACACATAATTTTTACTGCTTTTATCCAACGTTTACGTTTTTCTATTTTCCATGCAGCTCCTCGGGAATTTATAAAATTTCATATCACGTCAATTCCACGTTATTGACGTGGTGTACGTTTTTAACAGTCAAGGATACAGGATACAGCAAATTTTTCTTGAAGTTTACATTATTAAAATTATATCAGTATATTTTATTAATATGTAATTACGCATTAATCACGTGTTAAGATGAAACAAACGATCTATAATGGAATCTGTGAAACGATTCCAATTACTTACGATGTTTGCCACCAGTTGGCGTAAAAGTTTAGAGGCACGGTCCCTATAGAATTCGTAAAAGCGCGTGACCTTGTCACTGCACATGTGACTCGTAGGCCACAAGCGCGCGAGGAGCGTTAGACGTCGGTTATCAGTGTTGTTACGGACGCAGAGACGTAAAAATGGTGTTTTGCAGCATATCCAACTGCGGTAATTCTTCCACAACTTGTAACTTTTCAAATAAAGGGATAACATTTCATAAGTAAGTACCTAGTGTTTTAAATAATATTGTTTTTAACAAAGATTCGATTTAAATCTTTTGTTTTTAATGAAATATACTTAAATAAAATAATTTATCTCCAGTACTTGGTCGGTTGTCTCCAAAAATGTTATTGTTTTCAGATTTCATCCATTGATCTTAAGCTAGTTCATGTCTGCAAGTATGACAACTAAAAACAGCGATAGATTTATTATAGTATGGGCAATAAACAATATTGCCGCGTACGTAAATTTCCAAGAACACGACCGCAGAAGTCGAGCGCGAGTCAGTGACGTGATACTATGTACTATTTTGTATCGATAAATTACTATGTTTGTCTTACATAGTTATACCGTAATGGGAATGAAATATGATTTTTCGTTAAATATTTATTTACACCATCTCTATCTTTTTGTCTTTCTAAATGTTTTATACTGTTAACAGTTTATAAGCGATTATCTGTAAGGATACGTAATTATTTTTCATTTATTTATTGATTTCCACACACATATTACCGTTACAGGTTTAATAACCTAATGCATAAAAATTAGGGATGTAACGATTCCGTTACAAATATATCGGCCGATATAATCGGCAGACCGATATATCGGTATCGCCGATTACATATAACCGATATCAAGAGTTTGAAAAGCTTGCGAAACGAACAATGTGCGCGAGACATTCTTGCTCAGCGCAGTTGCCTCAGAGTGTTTTCAACTGCAGGTCTCTTTCAAAATGATTTGCGTAACAGATTATCTGCTAATAATTTTAACAAACTTTGTTTTCTTCACAAACACCTACCAAAACTTAACAGTAATTACCGACTTTTTTAAATCGGTTTACTTTACTACTTTGTGTAAGTAAAATTACTTTCCTGATTAGCGCTTTGATTGCTTGAGAATATTCTTGATTATTTCATATAATTAAATGTTTGCTTTGATATTTTGGTTTTCAAACTTCTCAAGGATCAGTCTCTGATAAATATGGGTTAACTTTTAACAGTTAACTTTTATGCATAATAAGAAAAATTATTCATTATTTTTTTCTGTCTATTTATACTCAGTCACCGATGAAGTTATCGGTATGGGTACGCCGATTATTTACTACAATAATCAGTGTCGGTATCCTATCGGCACAATTATATTACATCGCTAAAAAAAGAAACAATCCCAAAGAACAAATAATTACAAATAACAAATAACAAACAATGCAGCCCTTGTGAATTAATTCCGAGTGCAACAGAATAGGTCCACCAGAATAAATGGTTGTAAGGATGTTAGGCTAAATGCGATCTGTAAGAAGCCGAGTAACTGAAAAATAGGAAACATTAGAAAGTCAGTTACAGATCTTTAAAAATAATAAAAAATGATCAATATGTCACCCATATATTTATTTATTTGTTTGTTGTTTGTATAATGTTGTATTCATTTTATTTATACATCTGTTTATTTTATACACTCCCATTATTCGAGGTTTCCGAAAGATCCAGATATTAAAGATAAATGGATATCTGCGACTGGAAAAAGAAATTGGTTCCCGACAAACTATAGCAGAATTTGTTCTGTTCACTTCAAAAATGAACAATTCAACTCGTCAACAAAAAGACGGACTTTGATTCAATCAGCTGTACCAACAATCGATATATGGAGACTGACAACGGTAAGAATGAAAATGTACTAGATACCTATATGTATTATTAATTTTTGGCGAGAAAAGTTAAAGTAACTGGGTTATATAATAATTATGACTTTTAGCAATGACGCTATTGGCGATGAGAATGGGCAGTGTGATATCGGTAATATGTCTAATTTCGCATCAGAAGTTATAGCATATATAGTAAAATGTCCGTTATTTAATAAAAAAATTAAATGTGAAATTTGTGTTTCCGCATTGATGAACCCCGATAGTTCCAACGAAAATGTTCATTAAACTTAAAGACAACGGAGGCCGTCTGAAGTATTAATAAATAACTGAAGTATTAATGAAAAGTATTGTCTTTCACAGCAAGGTAACAAATTCAATATTAAGCAAATTAAAAATTTTACATTGAATTTGTAACAAAGGCCATGTGTAAGTTTGTTTCGCTAAAATTATTTGAAGGAATTGATTTTCACCAATATAGTCATTTCCCCATTCGACAGTCACGTCATTCAATTAATTAAATGTGTTTTGGAAAAATACATGGACATTCGCCTTAATCATTTTGTAAAAAATTATCCTATTAACCCCGATAAGACAACTTTTAAATAATTTTTTAAATTTTACAGGGCAGTAAATTCTAAATATTTTAATTAAGGCGAATTTTGCCGTTTTTAATTAAGTTTTATCTAAAACAAATCTATAAGAATGTATTTGCTTTTTTAAATAATGTAAAAAATATATGTGTTATTAATTAAAACGTGTATACTTATCCTTAGCGTTTTATTATATCCTCTTTTCTCTAACTATAAAACGTCTTAAAGCTAAAGCTGAGACTAAAAGCGTCTATTACTGAGACACTTTCAATTAATTAATTATATCTTGGTGTGGGACTCCTGGACGATTAACGACGCTATCGATACGTGCGTCGCACTTCACTATACCCAAGTGCTCTCACTTGGCAAGCGCGCAATGTCATTCGCTGTTTTTCGCATACGTTAATTTATTGGCCTGAGTGGCCCGAGTGGTTTTTACAAAATATTACTTAAAACTATAGTTTAGAGTTTAATTTTTGTTGCATGAACACTAGAGACACATGCAGGCGTAGTTGTGTATTTATTGTTTGTGTATGTGTGATAGTTGCGAATCGGCGACACGTGTACCGATATTGAAAGACCGTAGAAGGCATTTCTAGTGCCTTATGATTTAGATTTCTGTGGTCTTAACAATATGATATTGCGACGGGCGCCTTAAATACTTTTGCCAAAACATACTGATGTAAACATGTTTACTTGGTATCTTTGATGTTTAAAAAAGTTTATTTTTTAATTTATTTCAGGTCGAAAATGAACAAAATAACAGCAGCACCACTCCTTCAACTTCTAACATTTGTCAAAAGGATACGTTAAATGTTTCGGAAAGAGTAAGTCACATATTTATGTCACAGTCAAAACTCATAACCGGTTAAACCCACTTTTAACTGCGAAAATCAGGCAAAAATGGTTTTGACCAAGGCTTGTAGTCAAAAACAGTTTTGACTGACGTTTTCGTCAAATATCGTTTTGCCTGATTAAAACTAAAGACTACAATAGGTCAAAACTCGCAATATCAGTGAAAGTAGGTTAAGGTGCCGCTGGGGTGGTCCTTGGTCCACTCTTAAGCCTCGTACATTATTATAGTGATAAGAAATATAAACTTAGAGCTGACTTTTTTAATTTTAAAAATTTAAAAAGTATGTTTAAAAAGTAGTTTTGACTAATAATCTTGGTGAAAACCACTTTTAACAGATATAATTTGGTCATAATCACTACTACCCAATATCTTTGCAGTTAAAAGTGGTATTGAGCAATGTCCTTAGTCTCAACTTCTGTTGCCTGATTTTTGCAGTCAAAAGTGATTTTGACCGGTTATAAGTTTTGACCGTAACATATAATAAACACAACTCTTTTAAATAAATAATTATTTGATTACTGGTATAGTTTTAACATTGTAATTTTTTTCGCTTCTTTAACTTTTATAAACAGGCTACGATTGCGTCGCCTGTCTCTTCGAATGAGTCAACGCCGGGAAAACAAAAATTAAAAGTAATGATACAAGATAAAGAATATGTTATCACAAAACAACGAAAGCAAATCAAGAAAATACAAACACAAAATCGAAGACTCAAGAAGAAAATCAAACAGCTTGAAGACGCGCTAAGGGAACTACAAGAAAAGTATTTGAAACAAACTGAAGAAGTATCTACCCTCAAAAATACTTTACAGGTATTGTCTTGTATGAAAAATGAAGTTTTAAACTAAAATTTAATTTAAAAACTTACTCTATTTGTAATATTTAAGATAATTTTCCTAACGTTTGGTATCTAGCCAATGCAAATGCGATTGTGAAATTAATTATATTGAAAGCTGAAATTATTTATTTGAAATTTAATTGAACAGAATTTGATATGTAGTAATTAATAGGTAGGTTGTAAGTATTTTTATGAATTAAAAGAACCGGTTTATATTCTGGATCTCCATATCGTGCCTTTAGCATATTATCTATAGTTTCGTATTTTCGATTAATTAGTGTCAGTCTGTCTTAAAACTTGAGTAGAAAAAATATATTATTCTTAAATATATAATAGACCAATATTTAGTTTTAGTTAGTTTTGTATTCATAGCATAACTAAATGAGGTAAATCGGCCAATTTCGTCAAAATCAGTTTCGTGGCTTAACATTTCTACGTTCATCGCCGTTTTTCCCCCAAGCTCGCTGTTTAACAGCTAATAACGCCTTAACTAAAGTAGACTTTACAGCCTACTTAGGTGAGATATGTCTTCCTTAACTTAACCAGGAAGTAAACTATCTCAATTTAATTATAATTGGTTTAGCCACGAAACCCCGAAACACGACATGCGCATTATAATAGCAAAGTATTTCGCTTACATCTAACTCTGAACTAATTTATCTATAATTGCAAATAATTTTCGTAGCAAAATATGTTTTTTGTCCTATATTTCCTGATATAAAATTTAAAATTAGCAAAAACAAAATTTGTTAAATTTTGAACATAATTTTGGATTTCTTTATCGAAAATAATTTCAAAAAATCGTGTATTTGGAGCAAACCAAACTTTTTTTCATTTTATTTAAATTATAAATTAAAGGAAAGTAGTGGTTTACAAAATTATACATTATAAAGAGCTTAAATAAAAAATGCTTAAGTTAAGCTTTTCATACTGTATAAGTCTAGAGTATAAGACTATGTAATACATATTAAGTAATATGCCCAGAAGACTGGCTGAGTTGCCTGCCTGTATTGCGAGGCTGATATGCTGACCAAAATATCTATCCAGCTTTTGGGTCACCATAGACATTGACAAGGCGTGATGAGATATCTGTGTACAAAACGTCAGGACCCCACGGCCTCAGCCTACGCCAAACGGTCCGAACATGTATCCCTGTCCGAGGGCTCAGACGAAATAAAAACTCAAGACAGAGCACTGTCAACAATGAAGTGAAGTGAGGTGAGGAGGAAGTAGGTATGTTTGTTTCAACTAATTAGGGGGAAAATTAAACAATAGTAATATGAAAGAAACATTGTTTTTATTTTAATAGCCTTTTTGTTGGGTAAATTTTTTGAAATATTGCCGTTTACCGTCCAACGTTTTGGAAATTGTTTCCGATTTGGAAATACGGTGATAACGAATTGATAAATATTTTTCAATTATGCATCTTATTAAGCTTATTTTATGCTCTTGGCCAGCATAATTGTGGCCAGTTTCCAATTTAGAGAAAACTTTGTCAGTGCCAATAAATTGTTTTAAAATATTATTAACAACTGATTTGTGTTGGTTTTCAGTAACTATCACTATGCTTTCATTACATAATTTACGCTCAACAGTTTCACACATTACGCAAATTTCATAAAAGTCTTTCAACGGAAAGATTAAGCCACTTTTATCTTTTAAAGATATCAGTTTACGGAAGTCAAATATTTCATATAATATCATAAACGACATTTTTAAATTTATATTATGTAATACTAAATATAATATTATAGAAACATTGGAAATAGCCTTTTGATATCCGTTTCATACCACACGACGAAGTCCTTTATTTGTGTAATAAAAATCGTCGTCTTCAAAATGTGTCGAACAAACTACGCTGTGCACCGTTGGATTCCACGTGTCTCATTCCGGCTAACTCGAATCACTTCTATCCACTTCCCTTTAATGTCTTTATTTCGGATGGGGAACTTTAAAAATATAGATTTTTGAAGTGATGATAAAACATGGAAAAACAAAAAAAAATGCCTATTTACGCTTACACTAATTTTATGAATATTAAATGTAAAATAGAAATAGGTAAATGAACGTGTTACATTAAGTTTCGCGTCACATTAATAACTTACTGAATAAATGGGGACTACTGTGACGCTTACCAGTGGCAACACTTGTGGAGCTTTTATGTTCCAAGCTGTCATAATAAATAATAAAAATGATTTATTAAAAATTTGGATTTGTATGTTTACTTACGTATGAAATGTGATTCCATCCCGTTTTTATTTCTGGAAGATTGGTTTTTACACCCTTTTACAACACAATTTGGCACTTTTTCTTCAAAAACTGCGAATTATTATAGCTTGACACTCCGTGCGCTGGAATAGCTCGAATAACAAGGTATGGCGTAGTTTCGCTATATGTGTGTGCGTGAAACTGTGTATGTACAAGGCAAGGCGTAGTTTTACCGGCCTCAGTGCGTTGTTCGGCGGGGCTCTGTCATGAGTTTTTATTTCGTCTGAGTCCGAGGGCTGCATATTTACGCCGTCGACAACAGCAGAAGCCGCGCCTGCTTTCTATGCAGTCACCACAAGATGTGATGGCGCTAATGTGTCAACACAAGTTGCATCCGCTACTAAGAAGCGCCACTTTTTCTATGGATATATTATTGACATCGTTCCGCAATATACCGCTTGGCTCTAAAATTGCAGGTTCATTTGCACTGGTTAAGACCCGTTGAATGACGTCATTAATGGCTTTATGGGAAGGGATTCGACTAGTGCTCCGCTGGCATGCCAGGCTGTTCTGGCCTAGAATGTCAAGCTCTTTACTACAGCGGCAACGATGGAACTTAGTGGTTTTAAACTTTATTTCAGCCTGGTAGAAAGAGAGAAAGTAGTAATGTCCAAGAATGTTTCATTATTCAATCAGGGCAGTACATTCTACCAATGAACCGATTTCTTCTCCACAGATTCTAGAAGAAGCTTGCTCTGTAGGGTTTCCGCAGTTTTCTAATAGGTTTTTCTGAACCTGAATACTGAACGGTTCATTTCTATGCAAATCTGGGTTTCTCGGAAAAACCTGCTTCAGCCCGGTCATATAGGCTTCTTTGGCCTCAGCCAAGCATGAGACTTCTATATCATCCAATGATGGGTTAATAACTGTTTCAATGAGGTCCGATGTGCTATGAACTGAAGGGAAGAAAACCGGAAGTGCTGCGCTGAAAACTCTTCGGATGCCTGGACCACCAAGTCTAACGGGAAGTTATGGCCTGCACCCAGGAATTTTCATTTAATGGACAATTTAGAATTTCTATCATAGTTTTCCTAATCATATTATCATCTAAATGATTTAAACTGAGACGTGCATCCAAAAGTTGAACACCACAGCACGAACGTAAAATTTGGCAAAAATTTTAGTATGGCATATGCCATGTGTGGACTAATTTCTTTCAAAAGACTGGATGACTTCTGAAATTTTAAAATCTGTTCACTGACAACGTATTGAAATGACTCGTCTAGAAAATAGGAGCACCTAGAAGGCAAAGAGATTTGTTGTTAATTATCTTCATATGTGAGGCTAGGGAGTTAAATTTGCTAACACTTTGATCTTTTTCGGAGGTGGGTAAATTCTCATTAATAAAAAGTTCGCATTTAAAAAAAATCAATTTGATGCCAATAGAACTGAACTGAAAGTAGAAATAAGACTGGTTAAATCATCAAGCACTGAGTTCGCTTTGCCTCCTAGACCTATCATCTAAATACCCGTTACTGAATTTTGACCAGAAACAAATGGATATATTGGCAAACTAAAAAAAGCCGGACCAAGCGAGTAACCCTGCTGGCAACCGACAGTGGATTATATTTGGTGTTCTTTGTACACGATTGTAGATGGTGTACATTGTCAGAGGTAATAGTAAATGGCTGGATTATTTTCTTTTACCTGTATCAGCAGAGCATCTCGGTCTACTAAGTTAAATGCATTTTCAATATACACCTTCAGCAGTACCTCACCGTCACCGTGTTTCAGAAAGATGCGGGCCGCATGTACAACCCCTTCGCATCCCCCTTTTATCTCGAAACCTGGCTGCACAGGCTGGAATATGGCCGCGAGGTCTGGCTGGATAATTTTGCAGCAAATCTTTGAAATATGGAGAATTGTGTTACCATCTACTATGGGCCGAATACTCTTATCGTTTTTTTAAGGGCGCACAGATTTGGCCCTTAAAGTACGTGCGTTATGTTTGAACAAACCTTTCCGGATAGCATTAAATTTTACAGTTACATCAAGACATTTAGAAGGTCTCAGCCAGTTTCCCTTTGCACCCGATATAAGATTGCATTATCTGTCCAAGACATGTTTTTAATGCAGTATTTATATGCTAAATATTGACTTCTTATAAACAACGGTTAAATGCCTAACTCTCCATAATACGAGTATGAATAGGTGTACTTTTGATAAAATCCCCTATAATTCGAAGGGCTTTATTTTGGATCTTATCAAGTTCGTACAGATGTGTTTAAGCACTATTATCGTATAAAAAGCATCCAAAATCCAACCTACTTCTTAATAGAGAGATGCTTAAGATATACACCTCAAGCAAGCCCGGACAAAACTTTCAGAAAATTTAAGAATTTTGAAGTTTTTTCTACGATTTCACTAATATATTTAGTCCATCTTAACGATTTATCCAGCCATAGTCCCAAGTATTTAATATTTTCATGTACAGGAATTATATTGTTATTAATGCTTAAAGTGATTTCTCTTCTTTTATAACGTCTGTTAAAAACACCTAATTTTGATTTAGATACCGATAATTGGAATCATATTTCAACTAGAAAAAATATCATAGCGTTTGCTGCAGTTTGTGAACTATTTTCACAATTTTGTAAGTCCCTGCCACTCACATAAATATTAATTTTGGGAGACATTTTGAATATGACGACAAATCCTGAAGGTTAGGTACAATTAATCTACAAGTATGTAATTACCCTATGTTAATATCTATCAAATTTACAGACTTTCTTTTACAGACGAATCAAATTATTATTGTGAAGAATTTTGTAATTAAGTACGCGTTCGACTAAAACTGATTACAAAAAATGATTTTTTTGGTAAAAATGATTCACTAAAGGAGCCATCACTATTGATACTATTGATAAGATTTACTTAGATTAGATTTTGCGTCAACATTGTGAAATAAATAATATGTTAAGATTAAATAAAAATATATATAAAGCGTAATTAAATTCAATTTGTTTGTAATATTCTTATAACAATTATCTCTAGTCGGTAGTTTCTGTTATCTTTTATAGTGGTATGACTTATTTGTTAAGCGTTTCACTACGAATAAATGGTGTTCTTTCCTTCTTTCTGTTTTTCTGTCTTTCTTTTATAACTTCTTTGAAATACTAAACAAATACAACACAGTGGTCAATAATTATGGCATTTTAGTTTATGGCCAAATACTTTAAAAGACCTTACGTTAATTACACAAAATAAATAATTAAATGAACTCTGTCGAACAAAAATCTCATCTAACAGCCTTATATTTGTAAGTTAAGATGTTATACTTACTCTTTGAGTAAGATGTACCATCTTAACTACATCCATTAAATGATAAGAGTTATAAAAACTGTAAATGACTGAATGGATTAGCATTTTTGTATTGCAATATAGCTAAGATTAAGAGCTGAGCTACAAGATATATGTAAGTATATCGGTGCCGTCGTCGCGCTACAAGCAAATCGCTCCGAAGTATAAATCGCGCTCTCTAAGTTCCGAAGTACTGCGGTAGCTCTGTACTACCACGCGGAGAATTGGCCGCTTCCCGGGCCGAACGGGCCAATCGCCTTGCTCTGTGGAAGATCTCCCTTTTTCTTACCACGACAAAAGTGTTGGCTAACCGTCATGATGTATATTAAAGCTGTAACACAAAAATGAATGGGCTCGACCGGGAAATTGTGAATACTAACGGAAATTAATAACATGCAGTAACGTTGGCATTTAAAATTTTAACCTAT